CCGCGCCGTCGCCATCTTCCCGCGGGCCGCGCCTCCTCGGCCTCTCGCGTAAACAGTGCCACGCGTACAGCGCCAGCCTCTCGGGGTCTCCTCCCGCAGCCGCTCCCCGCTCCCAAGTTGTTCTGGACTTTTCCGGGCAGGAAAAAAGTTGTCTGTGGGCGCTGGCCGGTGCCCCGTGAGTCCGGGGAAACTGAGGCTCGGTGCACAGCAGCGTGGGACCGCCCTCCCTGACCTCTGCTTGCCGCGGGTGGGTGGGCCGCATCTCTCCTGCTGTTGGGCTGAGTACCCCCACCCCCGGGGGGCCTGGACAAAGAAGGCGCATGGAGGCCCTACCTTGGGCCCCCAGCCCTCCCACGGAATCCACCCTCCTGCCCAGTCTCCTGACATAAGTGAAACGCAGCGACAAGTGTAGGGTCCCCTTCTTTGGGACAGGAGGCCCTTTTTAAGGGGAGCCGGAAGAGGTGCAGGCCGCTGTGCAGCAGCCCTCCCCCACCCCCTTCCTCTGGCCTTGTTCCCAAACTGTAGAAGCAGAAAGCTGGGGTGCACATCTCTGGGGGGGACCCCGAGCTAGGGCTCCCGCGGGGTTCCACTCTCCCCGCTGCCATGAGGACCACCCCACACCTGGCACTGCCCGGCGGGCTTTGGCTCGGGACCATGTCACCGGGCGGGGAGCTGGGCTTGCAGGGGGCTTCAGGGCCCCTTGGCAGAGGGTGCGGCTCATTCCTGTGGCCTGCCTGTTCTTGGGAAACAGAAAGGCTGGCACAGGGACCCATCTCCTGTGACGTCCTGGCGCCCTGGGCCTGGCAAGGAGCTGGTTGAGTCTCCATCTGCCCTGGCTGGACGTGCCTCCCAGTCCCAGCCCCTGGTCCCCTGCTGAGGACGGTTTGGGAAAAGATATGTGAGGGGGGCACCCTGGCCTCGGGCCCCCGCTGTTGGCTCTCACTGCCCCCAATGCCCCGGCACCCATGGAGAACTCTGGGGCATGACCTTGGACTCCCACGGGGTACCCAAAGTTGATAACCAGAATCCTAGCTAGGACTCTCTGGGGGCTTTGGTGTGCTGAGTGGGTCAGTACCTCCTACTATCCGCCCAACCCAGGATGGACGTGTTATTTTTATCTGCCTGTGAAGGCTGAGGAAACAGGCACAGAGAAATTGAATTACTTGCCTGGAGCCACCCTCCCATCCCTGGGACCCCTGTTCTGAAGTGGGGTCTTGGCCTTCTCCATTCTGCCAGGCAGAGACCCTCAGGGCCCTGGGGAGGGCCGAGAGGGTCTCCTGGGCTGCAGCGCACCTCCCTGCTGCTCCTCTGGGCAGAGCTGGCATCTCCCAGGGATGAGGCCCCCTGGGGCTCACAGAGATGGCCCCTGGAGGCTGTCCTGGTGCAGCTGGGCCTGGCCAGCCCAGAGCAGGGCCTAGAGGATCTGGGGCCCTGACTTGCCTGGCAGGGCTGTCCTACCCTGCAAGGCTTCTTTCTCTCGCCACAGTGAGGGGAAAGGATGGGCACCGCTGGGACCAGAGTGAGGAGTGGGGCAGGAGGGCGATGTATAGGGGGGAAGCCCCACAAGCTACAGGAAGGGCTTTGGGGGACAATGGTTCATCAAGAGGGAACTGGAGCCAGCCTGCTGGGGCTCAGGTCCTCCAAGAACATGGCTGAAGAGTTCCTACCCGGAGGGGTTGCTGTGGGCTGTGAACCAAGTGAGGGCAGGAATATACTTAGCGGAGCCCCAGCCTGGGGTCCCCCCTCTCCCTAGGCCTGAGACAGGGTGTTCCTGGGACCCATGTTACAAACCTGGGAGGAGCCCTAGGAGGGGCTCTGGGCCTCTCTCCATCCCCAGTTAGCCAAGGAGTGACCCTCTTCCTCCAGGATGGGGTCTAGCCCAGACTGTGAGGGGGTGGCCAGGCACATCTCTGTGCATCGAAGGGCACTCGCTGGCCCTTACATCCTTCACACGCGAGCAGACCTCCAGACCCACACAGATGGACTGTGGTTCAGGCCTTGAGGAGCCTGACAGCTATGCCCACTCCTGGTCCTGGCCAGCCCCGGCAGAGGTTCTGAGGCTCCCTGCCCAGCTCATGTGATCGGCAGGCCCTCGGGGCTCTCCTAAAGCTGCACAGGGAGGCCCAGGGGCTGACTGCCCTGGTGAGCAGAGGGGAGGCCTTGGGTCCCAATTGGCTTTGATGGGGCCATGAATCGTGCTAGGCGGCAGAAGCAGGAAGGATGGGCAGGCACTCTGACTTGTGGGATGGGGACGGGAGACACCCAGTCCACAGTTCCTACAGCAGGGGAGTGAGAGCAGGCAAGCAGAGGTCAGTAGAAGCTCCAGGAAAGAGTGAGAGGTGGGGGACACAGCGGTCAATCTGGGTGTCCCCTGAGGTGGCTTGGGGGCCCTCTGCTCACATGCGAGGCAGCCTGGCAGGCCTAGGAGCCCTGGCTGTCCATGGGGTCCCCACCTGAACTGGGAAAATGATGGGGAACTGGGAGATTGGCCCTGCCATATTATTGTCCTGCAGGGCAGGTGCTGTGGCCCTGTCCACCAGGGTGCTCAGGACTCCGTACCCCTGTCTGGATGGGCCAGGTGGGCAGGGCTTGAGCAGCAGATGGGGTCCCTGTGCCCAGAGAGGCCAAGACCATGGCCCCAGAGGGAAGCGAAAGGGCCAGCCTCAGTCTCCCTCCTGCCCACTGGCCCAGGAAGCATGCACATATTAGAGGTGTCCTTATGCGCTGATCCCTCTCGGGCTGGGTCTGCTCTGTCCCTGGGTGTCCCCACTGGTCCGATGAGCTGTGAGGATGCAGGTGGGAGAGCCCAGCAGGGTGAGAATGGTGCTCTGGCTGGGTCAGGGCCGGACCACCCCGTGTCCGTGTTCCCCTGCCGTTGGCCCTTTTGCTAGCGCCCGTGGCCTCCAGGGGTGGGGAGTGGAGAAGGCTGGTGGCTTAGTGCCTGGGAAGTCTTGAGAGCACAGGGTGGGTCAGTCCTAGTACCTTCTGGAAGGGGCTTTGGACCCTCCTGCTGGCCAGAGCCCCCACATGCCTCACAAAGTAAGCCGGGTGGCCCTAGGCACCCCTGGACAGAGCTGCAGCTCTGTGTCTCCTGTCCTTGTCACTCAGTGCGAGGTCCCCCCCACCCCCGCCTTGGCTCGGCAGCTGCTCACCTGCCCCGGCCCTCCCCGCGCTGGGCCATCCTGGGGCCCAGACCCTGTCTGCCACCATCGACAGGTTCCTAGGCCCCCGAGTAGAGTTGTCGTTCTTGGGCTTTGGTGATCAGGCAGCAGAGTGAGCTCTGTCTTTCTGTCTCTCTAAACAGGTCTTCACACAATGAACTAGAAAAGCACAGGTAAGTGATCCCCTGTCCCCCACTCCCGGTCGCCTGTATGAGCCGCCTAACACATCCCACCCACCTTTCTGCTGGGGGGATGCTATGGCCGCACCCCCCCGGGTCCCACCTGATGTGTCTGGGCACAGCTGACCGTGCCCCCAGGCTGGGCCCTTGCTAGGGAAGGGTCTGTCTTAAAGGCAGAATCAGACTCTGCTGTCAGGCACCGCATGCCGGGAGGTGGAGGCAGGGGCCCAGGTGCTGCTCCTGGAAGTTCAGGGTGGGGGTGAGGGACTTGGAGCAGGACCCCCTATGCTGGGTGACCCTCAGGGCCCGCTCTCTGGAGGAGGAGATCCATCTAACTTGGGGCATCTGAGCCCCTTTGGGAGCAGCTCTTGAGCCTTTAGGATGCTGACCTCCAATCAGGAGGGCTTGGCCCTCTTAGTCTGGGGTCCCCTGCACCCGGGGCCTGCCTTCCAAGGAGCTCCCACTGGTCTCGTGTGGGGGCAATGGGAAGGGCAGCCTGTCTCTGGCCGCGTGGCCTTGAGGGGAAGCTCTGGCCCAGGGAAGGATCCAGGGGAACCCACTTCATGCCCACCTACTGGCTGCAGGGCTGGGTCTGCGCTGGGTCCTCTGAGGAGTGGGAGGGCTTGTGGGGAGAAGTGGGGAAGGGCAGCACTGTGGCCCAAGGTAGGCCCCAGGGCCCCTCTCTGGCTGACCCCAGCTTGGGTGCTGCAGGCCTGGCTCTGCCCTCAGGGGTTCCATGACCCTGGGCCTCCTCTGAAATAGGAACAAGACACAGGCAGGCTCGGCCCTGCAGACAGGGACCCTCATGGCGGATTTCAGTGGGGTGGTGGGAGCTGGGGGTGGGTACAGAGGCTCTGAAGCCGGGAGCCGTGGTGCCAGGACGAAGGGATGCCACATGGTAGCTTTTCCTGAGCTTTGCTCCCATCTGTGAAATGGGCCCATTCTTTCCTCCCTTCTTGGGTCAGTGTGGAGGGGGGCTTCTGTATACAAGTTGAACTTTCAGCCTGCTCTGGGAAGGCTTGGAGCTTAGCCAGTTCTACGTGTTCTCCCCCCACCCCTGCTCTACGCCCACGGCAGCACCAGCTTCCGCTCCCCTGGGATTTGGCCCTCAGCTGGGCTGGGGCTGGGCAGGGACAGGACGCTGTGTTCTCTGGAGGAACCGTACTTCCTGGACTGGTCCTGTGTGTTTGAGGGGCTCCCGAGAGGCCATAGAGGTGGGGCAGGTACAGGGGCCCCAAGAGCCAGGCGGGCCCTGGGATTGCTTCCAGGCTGGAGGAGGTGGTCAGCCTTTACTGGGACCCCAGAGCCTGGACAGGCACGTGAGGGGTGTTCTGGAGAAGGCCCTGGGGTGGTGCCTGGGAAAACAGCCCCGCAGTGCAGACAGAGGGGATGATGCTGCGGGAAGACAGGTGCCCAGGGCATGGCAGCCTGTGGAGGAGGACAGGTTGCTAGCCTTTGACCCCTACAACTGCCCCTTGACCCTGGCCTTGGCCTCAGTCACCTTCTCCCAAAGCCCGCCCTTAGGCTGGGCCTCGGGGGGTCCTTTTGAGCCCCTGCAGTGGATAGATGGGTGGCTTGAGATCTCTGTCCACTCCCTATCCCAGTGCAGGGTCCTGTTCCTGGCTGGCCAATGAGCAGGTGTGGGCAGCCATGAGGAGCCCCTGGTGGGGACTGGGATCACAGCTGTGCCTGTGACTGCCCAGTGCTGATGCAGGACATGCCTGGCTGCTGGCCACAGGAAGGAAAGAAGCATGGCTGGGTCACCCGGCCGGCCCTGGGGACGCCGCCTTCCCTGGAGGTGTGCCTACCCTGGGCCTGTGGGGTTTCCCCTTGCCTGTTCTCTGAGCCAGCCCGGTCAGCCTGAGGCCCGCCCAGCCTGGCCCTGTTCCTCCTCCCAGTCCTCCCCATCCTCCCTTGTGGGAAGCAGCCCCCGCAGGTCTGCTAAGGCCAGGGCTCCGCTGCTAACCCCAGGCCTGGGGGCCACGGAGGTCAGGTGCTCCTGGGCAGGATGAGCCTCCTGGCCCCAGCTCCAGCCTTTAGCCTTTGTGTGTGGAGGTAGGGAGCCCCCAGCTGCCTGATACAGTGGCACACAGTCTTTATAAACCACACGACAACTGGAAGATGCAGATGAGCAGAAGGTGGCTCGCCATCCTCCCCCCCCCCGCACCGCCTGCACCACCTCCCCGAGGGAGCCACCATTCACCGCATCTCTCTGACCGCCAGGCCTGGCGTGGTGCAGAGCGCAGCTGTGCAGACACTGGGACCCTGGGACATGGCTCGGGAGCTCTGGGTCTTCCTCCGGGGAGCAGGGGGCTCGTGGTGAGAAGCTAGGAAGGACCTGTGTTGAGAGCTGGGCTGCGGCCAGTGGCCAGCAACCGAGCTGCTATTAACACTAACACAGTGATTCCCAGAGGCAGGTTCTGCCTCCTGAGTCCACACAGGGTTCCTTCAGGAAGTGGTGAATTTTCAAAGCTCCCAGGAATGCCCGGGACAGCCACGGGGCGCTGGCAGAGGGCCTGCGGCACTGGGGCAGCCTCAGCACCCCTTCCTGCTCCCCGCAGGGCAGAACACCGCGGCCAACGAGGGTGGGGACTTGCCCGGGCCCCTGCAGCCGGCACTTGGCAAAGCTGGGTCCTGGCCCCCCCAGGCTGCAGGCCTGGCTGAGTGCTCCTGGGGACTCGGGCGGCCGCGGTGTCCAGTGCCAAGTGCTGCTTGGGTATCGTCCAGCGGACTCTCTTTGTCCCTCGAGGAGCCTCTGCTTTAGGATTTGTAAAGCAGTCTGTCCACGTCCAGCACAGACGTTCGAGGCCCCCCCAGGCCCCCCCCCGGGAGAGAGCCATCCTAGGTGGCTGGGAGGCCGCACCTGCATCCTCCTCCTCCTCCACACGGATACTAACTTGGATAAGAATGGGACCTTGTTAGCCGCTGTTTCATAACTTGACCTTTCACCTGCCACCACGAGTGCTGTCCTGTGTCGGCGACTTCGCCACTGCGGGTCCCAGTGCTGACACAGACTCGCGGCCATGCTGCCCGCGCTCTTAGCCGTGGCCTCTGCTTAACGCTCCCCGCACCACCGCCGCCACGTTGTCACCCTGGGGGTGGAGCGAGTCGCTGCCACGGCCCTTGGGTGCTGCGGTCCCTGTTTGCTCCCCCACCCACGACCCTACGACGCGTGGCCGGCCACGCACTGGCCAGCCCCAGAGCCCTCCGGTCTTGGCAGTCGGGCCCGGGTGACGGCCTCCCCCACCCCGCCGGGCTTTCGTTTCCTCGCGGGCTGCGCGGCGGATTGGGTTTTGTGTTAGCTTAGCGGTCTGTGTTCTGCAACTTGCCTGTGTGTGTCCTTTGCCCATTTCCACAGTAAGATACTCCTCTTTTTATTTTTGATGTGTATGAGCTCAAAATGTCACGAATACTAACCGTTTGTCTTTTATGTGTATTACAGATATTTTTCCACTGTTATTTGTCTTTTAGCTGTGTTTTTTCTTTCTTGTACAAATTCTCTTTCTGATTGTAAAAGTAATATGTGGTTTTTTTTTAGCATAGAAAGCCTGAAAATACAAAAACAAAAAACAAAACCGTAAAGCCAAAGAAATAAACGTTGCTAACCGCATCACCTGGAGACGCATGCCTCCTGTTCTTCATTGTGTCCTGTTGAGTCTCTCGTGTGCGTCTGCTGTTTGAGTTTTTTAAACAATATTGGGTCCCTTGTCACGTAGGTGGTTTCGTATGCCGAACATTCATGATGCAAGAATGTAGACTACACTAAAATGGTGGTGGTGGGATTCAGGGTACTTCTCATTTATTATTTTTTTCTTTCTCTTGACTTGCAGTTTCTGATTTTACACAAAGGTCACGTACTGCTTATGTAAGCGGTAGATTGTAAGAATTGCCATTTGCTAGAGCTCAAAGGGACAAGGGGACCCCACCAGTGACCTGGGTGCAGGTGGCAGGACGGCAGGGCCCAGTGTGGAACTGTGGCTCTCTGGCTGGCGAGCCCCTCCTTGAGCACAGAGCGCAGTTTGCCGCCACCCCCCCCCCGCAGTGTTCTGGCCCCATTTTCAGTGGGGCATCAGGCAGGGTCCTGGAGCCCCTTGGAGGTGGGGGAGCGGAGGTTCCTGGACTCTGGGTGGTCCTTCTGGCATGCCGCCTGCTCCAGCCCGGTAGTCCCGTGGAGGTGGGAGCTCATCTCTGAAGGTCCTCCAGCCTCGAGGCAGAGCGTGGGGCTGCTCCTCATGCAGGTCCTGGCTCCGCGTGGCCTCGTGGCAGAGCGCAGCCTTGGTCCTCCGTCCTGGAGGTTCTTCTGGACGACTTCTAGGTCCCGGGGTGCTGTGGGCTGGGGTGCTGGGTTGGGGGTGCTCTGTCAGTGGGAGGGTGCCGTGTGGGCCTGGGTGACAGACGTAGGGCCACGGGGTCCAAGTGCTGCCAGCCCTCCTCCTGCAGGGTAGGGCCGTTCTTGCTGCTCTGCTGACAGGCTCCTGCCCCGCACCTGGCTGCCCCTTCTCCCAGGCCTCGGGCATCCCCTCAGTCCACTGTCCGGCCAGGCTCTGAGGCTGAGTGGGGCTGTGGATGCGCGGGGGCTCTGGCAGGTCGGGGGCAGAGGTGAAAGCCGGGACTTGCCGAGGGAAGGGACCTGCACTGGCCATGGTGCTGGCAGGGCAGCTGGGCGGCAGGCTGTCAAGGCCTCACCAAAAACTCCTGCCCCCTGTCCTCCGGGGGTTTCTTAGCGTGGCCTAAGCAGAGCAGTGAGGCCGGGCCTCCCGCAGAGGCGGGGAGGGTTACGTGCATGTGGCAGAGGCCCCCTGGCCGTCCCAGTGGCCAGAGTGTGCTTCAGAGTGAGCTGTGGCCACCCCCCCCCGCCACCCCCTCCCCCGCAGGGATGAGCCAGGAAAGGCAGTGTTTCTGCACGGGCGGGATCTGGGCCAGAGCCCCTCACCCGAAGCCCCCGTGTGAACAGTGTCACTGGGTCTTGTGAGGGCAGTTTGGTGAAAATCTGCATTCGTCTGCACGGACACAGGGATAAAATCTGGAATGAAGTGGTCTCCTCTCAGGGACATCAAACTCGGGGTGGGAGGGGCTGCTCCTTGGCCCTCCCTGAGCCCAGTAGACTTGCATTTCTGTGGTGACATGACCGACCAGAGACCACCCTGAACTTGGCAAAGTGGAATGCCAATCTTGCCTGGGGCCCCCTGGACCTCTGGGAGCAGCCTGAGCAGGGCCCTAACCTCGCCGCCCTGGTGTGCCCTGGCCTCCTGGATCCACCGTGGAGGGCGGTGACCGCAGCGTGGGCTAGGGCTCTGAGGCCGTGCCCCGCAGGCCATGCTGGGCTGGCTGGCTACCCGCGCCCCAGCCACAGGCTCTCTGCTCCGTCAGGGAATCCAGAAGGCAGGGACCGGGCTGCTCAGGGGAAGCAGGCAGCCAGGCTGGGAGGGGAGTCCTGGGGAGGGACCCCAAGCAGGTCTGTGCAGGAGTCTGGCTGGCCGCCTCTCATGCCCCCAGACCTCTCAGGCCTGTCTGCTGCTGCTGTCCCTAGGGCTATGTCACCCCGGCCTGACGGTTCTGTCTCTCCTCTTTCAGACGAGCCAAACTCAGGCTCTATCTGGAGCAGCTCAAGCAGCTGGTGCCCCTGGGCCCTGACAGTACCCGCCACACCACGCTGAGCCTCCTCAAGCGGGCCAAGATGCACATCAAGGTGAGCAGGGGGTCCACTGGTCTGACCAGCTGCCTCAGCTGACCCCAGCCCATCCCGTACACCCCCGGGGAGTGACCAGGGGGCCTGAGGGGAGCCACCCAGCAGGTGTAGCCTGGGGACCTCTGGGGGTCTCTGGTGGTAGGTGAGGGCACAGGGGATGCTTAGGGTGGAGGGGGTCACAAGCACCTGCTGGGTTTTATCGAGAGGTGGTGGGGGTAGGAGGTAGCCATGCTAGGCTGGGGGAGGTGAAGAGGTTACAAATGGCCCCTGGGGCCCTGGGCTGTGAAGGAGAGGTGGGGTCAGGAAGGGCAGGATGGGAAGCAGGCAGCCCAGGGGTGTTGGGAGGTTCTGGGTAGAGGGTGTAGTTGGTCTCCTGGGACTGGCAGAGGGGGTGGATGGAGTGAACCATTGTCTGGGGTGGGCCCCCAAGGCCTCAAGACAGACCTGCTGGTTTGGGGGGGGGTCTTAGGACACTTGGACCAACCACGGTAGGTCTCAGTCTCCTTGAAGGACCCCTCAAAGCCTCCGAGCCAGCACAGGCAGGGGCACCCCCAGGCAGGGTGGTTGGAGCTTACAGAGAGGCATGGTCCATGCCCCGGGGCCTCCGGGAGCAGGCAGCTTCCCAGAGCAGAGTGCGGCCCTCAGGGACAGGCAGGGGGTGGGGGGATGTCAGCAGTATGGGGGCAGTGGGGGCAAGACCACCAAGGGCAGGCTGTTCTCCAGGAGGCAGCACCAGCCTGGGGCCCACACGTGCCGTGGGTCTTCTGGAGCTGGTCAGCAGATGCAGAGTGCAGGCCTGGGAGGTGGCACCTCATGTAACCCCTGGCAGGGTGAGGGGGCTGCTCCTCAGGCCTTTGCGGGGCCAGCGGTGGGGGATGAGAACCTGCTCTGCCCAGGCCGCTGTGCCCCAGTTCCTGGTCCGGGTACAGGGGATGGTCCCCCTGCCTCCCACCGCTCATAGCTCCCCCGCCCCCAGAAACTGGAGGAGCAGGACCGCCGGGCACTGAGCATCAAGGAGCAGCTGCAGCGGGAACACCGCTTCCTGAAGCGGCGCCTGGAGCAGCTGTCCATGCAGAGTCTGGAACGTGTACGCACGGACAGCACGGGCTCCGCCGTCTCCACTGATGACTCAGAGCAAGGTGGGGACATGGGAGCAGCCGGGCGGGAAGCTGGGAGGGTGGGGTTGGCTGAGGAAGGTGGGGACGACAGCAGATGTGTGCGAACGCTGGTAGCAGACGTGGCGGGACGAGGCGGGACCTGGCCGGGAGAGGCGGGACGTGGCGGGACGAGGCGGGACGAGGTGGGTGAGGCACGGAGGGCAGCTGGTCTGTGCTCCAGGCTCCGTGTTCCTCACCAAGCTGCAGGCCCGGAGCCCCTTGCTTCCCCCACACCCCCACCCCTGGAGCCTGGAGCCTCTGCTGCCTCCATGAAGGGCGGAGATGAGCCCTAACTTTGAAGGGAGCCCCGGCTGGCACCCCAGTTTCTGATCCTGCCCCCTCCGTTCTCCCCAGAAGTGGACGTAGAGGGCATGGAGTTTGGCCCTGGTGAGCTGGACAGTGTTGGCAGCAGCAGTGACGTGGACGACCACTACAGCCTGCAGAGTGGTGGCTGCAGCGACGGGGGCTACGGGCCCCCCTGCCGGCGGCCTGGCCACCCTGGCCTCTCGTAGGCCCAGTGCCCTCTGCTCCTTGGCCCGCCTGCCTACCCGGCCAAGCGTGCCAGCCCTCCAGTCCTCGAAAGCCTCTCCGCGGGCCCGCCACTGTGCCATTCTGGAAGCTCCAGCTGCCGCCCGGGCTGCCCGCCTCCGCCTGCCTGCCGGTCAGGGCCTGCCGTGCCGCCCACCCCTCCCAGCTGGGCAGGGACCCCTGCAGGGAGACGGGGCCCAGCTCCCACATCCCGGAGCCCAGCGTAGCCGCCCACGGTCTGTTCTCAGATTCCTAATCATTCCAGAAGTATTAAATATCATTGCTGCAAATCTCGGCGGGCACCGTGTGAGGGGCTTAATGACCACTGCGGGGAGCTCAGACCCCAACCCTGGATCCCAGGAGAAAGGAGTGGACCGAGGAAGGAAGGAAGGCGTGGCTCTCCGTCCATCTGTCCATCTGTCTGTCAGTCCACGTAGGCTCCTGAGGCCTGGACAGAGGGACCCATGAAGGGCGGGACTCGGGTGAGCACCCTGGGGCAAGTGGGTGGAGAGGGTCCTTTGTACCCCACAGGTGTCAGGAGCCAGGGCTGGGCTCCTGGGGGCAGGGCAGGCCACCCCATCCCAAGCTGGGCAGCTTCTGCTCCGTTAGGTCCCTTGGATGTACACATGCACACGCCTAGGGACACGTGCCCACACGCACACGTGCCCACACGCACACGTGCCCACACGCAGACACACGTGGTCACCGGACCCAGAGGCTAAATGTCTTGGGGAGGGAGGCCTTCAAGGGTCATCTGGGCACATGCTGGCCCCTGGCCTGCGCCTGGCTCCTCGTCCCACCCCAGCTCACCTGCAGGGCAGGGGCTCGGCCTCCCGGCCGGGGCTTACATACACTGGGGGCGGCAGCTTGAAGCCACGGAGTCCTCAGGAGGCTTTCTCATCTACCTTTAAAAATAAAATAAATAAATTGCTGCACTGCCCAGCAGCCCAGAACAGGGCTCCCGGGAGAGAGGCTTTTTCCCCAAAATAAGAGAAACATTTTTAAAAGAGAAAAAAGCTCTAAGGACTCCCCGCCAAGTGACATCAGTGTGTGCTGCCTCAATTTCCTGTACGAGATTTTTGTACTCTATTTTCCTAGCCATTGTTGTGTCCTTGTTTGCTGAGGGGTGGGAGCGACCCAGCGTCTCAGGGACTCGTCTTGTCTGTCACCGTTGTCCAAGTGTGCCTTGTGTCCCGTGTCTGGCCCCGCCCCATCCACCACCACCAGCATCTCCCTTGTGGCTCAAGGGGCACCCCTGGCCTGCCCCGCAGGTGCCCTCCTAGCTTCCTCCCTGTGCCGCGGCCCCTCCCAGCAGCCACGGCTTTCTGGGAGTGAGAGACTGAGGGGCCGGTCAGGGGTTATGTGGGCAGCTCTCTGTCACCTGGCTCCCCCAGTGACCCAGCGGCCCCCCCACCCCCCATCTTGCCCTCCCCAGCGGTCAGTCGGGGCCTGCCAGGCAGCTTGGCCTCCTGGTCAGGGGCCTGCTCACCAGAGAAATAGGTTCTCCCCTGTACCCATCTTGACCCTTCCCTGCTCCCCCGGCCTGGGGCGAGGGCTCCAGATTTCAGACATTGGCAGCTGATGAAGACAGCCCTTCCCCCTGGGTAGCCAGGCTTGGGCATCAGGAGGCTTCTCCTGGCCTTTTGTTCCTGAAGTCCTTGTCTGCACAGCAATATTTGGGTGGCGTGCTGTGGGGCTGGCCTGTAGCTGCATCTCCTTCCCTCTCTGGTGCATTGTAACCGATTTCCAGATTGTGGGGGAAAGTTCGTGTTTATTTTTGGTCAAGCCGACGGACACCCCAGGGTGGGTGGCCTACTGAGGCAGAACGGGGTCCCTGGAAACAGCTCTGGCACAGAACCTGCCCTGCAGGGGCTCGGGATGATGAGTGGAGAGCAGGCTCGTGGGAGGCAGTGTGTGAACTGGGGAGATTGTCCAAACATCTTGCTGGTGCTTGCAAGGAAAACTATTCTGTCAGCATCTCCTTCCAGCTTCACTGGGGGTCTGCAGTGCCCAGACTAGCTTGTCCTGTCTGCCTGAGCATGCCACACAGTGCTTCTTGTGAGCACCAGCCCGCTCTGAGCAGGGTAGGAGGGCCTGAGTTGAAGATCCCGCTGCAGGAGACACAAGTCCAGGCCCCTGGGATGGTCTGTGCTCTCCGTTCTTGAAGCACCAGCTCCCCCAATAGCTGGGGGCTCTGCTCCCACCCCAGCCAGCAGAATCCTCCCTGGGTGACCAACTGTGGCCCCCAGCTGACCTTCCTGGCAGCTCAGCCCGTGGCTTTTCAGGCCATGGTTCCCACGTGGGCCGGGGGCCCCTCTCTGCCACCAGCAGACAGGTGAGGGGGGTGGTCCTCAGGGCCAGGGTCTGGTGCTAGCAGTTACTCACACATCCATCCTCCCCTCCCACTAGCTCCCTGCCTTTTGCACGTGTTAGCTGTTGCTGGTGGCCACAGAGACCCAGTGGGGGCCTGGCTTGAGGCCACGTTGGATAACTGAGCATCGTTGAGTCTCTAGAAAGCAGATGGGACCAGAACAGGCCTGCAGGGGTGTCTGTGACCTCTATCCATATGCCCTCCCACACCTATGTGGGCCACTGTGGCCCTCGGCCAGGATCCTGGAACCCCAGGCTCAGGTTTGGGTCCCCACCCTCACTGGGAGGTGACCCCATACACCAGGCCACCACTGCCCCAGTGCAGACCCAGCTGGCTGGGGAGACTGCAAGAAGGCTTCTTCTCCTTGGAGCTCTGGGCCTGCCTCTGTAGTTTGGGTCTTGGTGGCCCAGTGCCCAAGCCTGCCCTCCTGGGCTGATGGAGCTGTGTGCCCAACCACAGCCCTGTGGGCTTCCGCCCTCCTGTCTGCCCCAGACAATCCCCATCTGCTGAGTGAGGCAGGCTTCCCCGGCTCTACCAACCCCTGCCTCTCTCTGGGCCAGCTAACCTGGGGCCCCCTCCCCACGGCCATGTACACAGAACTCTGACCCCGGGCCACATCTAGGGCAGGTTCTTTGCCAGAGTCTGGGGCTGCCCAGGGGCCCTGGTGCTGGCCAGGTCAGCGCATCACAACATCCTTGCTGGAGAGAATTGGGCCACCCACCTGCCTGTTCACCGGGAGGGACTGTGCTGTACCATTCTGTCTTTGTAATATAAATACAGATTTTTATACCTCACCCCTCTGGCTTCCAGTTCTTTCCGTCACCATATCTGGCTCCCCTCTCCTCGGCCTCCATAGCGAGCCTGAGCCCACCAGTGACCTTGGCAGCCTTCACCACCCTGCCCACAGCTTCTGCTTTCAGGGAGGCCCAACATACCATGGTCCTTCCCCACTGCCAACTGGCTACCACGGAGACGCCACCATCGCGGCTGCCTCCCTGGATGGTCACACCTGGAGTTGAATGAAAGTGGAACCCCACCCCACCCCTGCCAACTGCCAACGAGATGCTCTTGCTGCCAGCATTCCTACTTTGCTCCTGGCCCTGCGGCTGGGGCACTGTCTCAGGAGGGCAGGTTGGCCCTTGGGTGGTCGGTCTTAGGGTGGATAGCAGGTGTTCTCAGGCAGGTGCCCTTTCCACACAGCTGTAGTTGGCTGTCAGGATGCACCTTGAGAAACCTTCCTTGGACCTGTCCTCAGCATCCCCAGAATGTCCCAGGCATGGCCTTTGCCTGCTGCTGTGCAGGGTGAGGGTGTGAAATGGTGTGGCCCCAGCACAAGGCAACTAGGGGACAAAATGCTCAGGTAGTAGGGAGTTGGGTAGCCAGAACAGGACTTTCCTGGGGCCCCCCGGGGCGCCACGGCACACTGGAGATGGCTCAGTGATTCGCTCTAGCAGGTTCTGGGGTGTCTGGGAGAGGACCTGCAGGGACCTCTTCCCTCCCCCAGCAGGCTGCAGCACTCACCTCTTGAACCTGGGTGAGTCCCAGGGGCACCTCTGGAAAACAAGGGAATTCCTACTGGGAATGCAGCTGGGGCTTGGGGTGTGAATGTAAATGAGCAGCTTTTGAATTCCAAATATTGCTAGGACTTCAAATCACCACCACCTTTTACGGACGTCATAAGGGCTCCAGCAGCTGGGCTAAGCACTTTGTGAAGTCAGAGCCTGCTGTCCTCACGCTGGGCCCATCTCAAAGACAGAAAACTGAGGCTCAGAGAGGGTACCCACCTTCCCCGAGTCACCCACTGAGCCAGGGGGCCTGGGATGGGACCCTGGTCCTCAGGGAAATCCCTCCTGCCACCAGAGTCCATCTCCATATTCAGCCTGGATTACAGGCAGTGCCCCTCAAGGGGGACACCTGCCTCCATGTCCACCCTTCTGCCCACGCTCTTCTTGGTAGGCAGAAGGGCCTCAG